CGATGGCTATAGCCATTCGCAAAACAGCGATTCCTATGGGGGAATTTCACTGGACAATGTTTGGTCCCTGCTTCGCAAACCGATTTTCGCTAGATGACAATTTGCTTTTCGCTAGACAATGATTTCGCTAGACAGCGATTTCAGTGGAACGGATTATCATCGTCTAGCGAGGCACCACTGTAGAGTCAAGTATTGACAGAAGGGAAGGCCTGCGTGAAGTGCCAAAGTTTTTAATTGCACCGCCCTTTTAACGTGGAAAACCTCTAGGTTTGGCCTTTTAAGCCAAGACAGTGGCTTTCAGCAAGCTGTCGCCTCTCGCACAAACAGAGTTCCTCACCAATGACGTGAAGCAAGGAGCTACACAGTTGACTGATGGCAAGGATGACACCTGGCCCCAATCCCAAGACAGATTCCAAAAAGATCAAGAAACAGCAATGACACTGTTGTGTGTCTTTTTTTAAAACAACGGTCAAGCCCCAAAGGGCTTGCACAAGACATCAGGCAACGAAGCGCCATTGACCTGGATGCTCTCCCCTTCCCGGCAAACAAGAGGCGACTCCACGCGGCTGTAGTCCACCCCCAGGACCCAGCTCTTGCCGATCAACTGAACGTTGTCCACGGCCGCGGTAGACGTTGACCCCGTGGGCTCCTTCCGGCTGGTCTCGGGCGCTCGCTTGGAGTGGAAGAGGCTGAACACGATATCTCCCTTGAGGATGTCGAAGTCCCAAGTGATGACGGATTCGCCTTCCAGAATCTCCGCGACAATCTGGATGGAGAGACAAGGAAAAGAGAGTGTTGGGCCCACCTTCTTGTTCAACGCAGGACCAACCTGACGGGACACGTCCGTCAGGCTGGGTTCCAAGCCATCCGTCCACGACCCCCATCGCTTTCTATCGTGAGAATCGCAGAAGAACTGAGTTGGAAGGGGCTTATAAGGCCACGGGGGTCCAACCCCCTGCTCGAGGGGGTAAGCCCAAGAGTTTACTCCAAACTTTCCAAATCCAGGAGCTGAAGGCCGCATCCCAACAGGAGAGCAGGGGCAGCTGAAGGCACAAAGTTGGCCGGGGCCAGGAAGGAGTGTCTTAGCCGGCCATCGACCACTCAGAGGTATGTGGATACGGGACAAAGGAATTTTTCCAGTGCCCCCCCCTGCTCAACCTTTCAGGCTCCATACTACAGTGGTGCCTCGCATAGCGAGATTAATCCGTTCCGGATTAACCTTCGCTATAGCGAAACATCGCTGTGCAATGCGTTCAATGCGTTCCTATGGCTTGAAAACTCACCGCTGTGTGAGGCTCGTCCATAGCGCCGCCATTTTCGCGCCCTCGGTAAGCGAGGGCAGGGCGCGAAAATGCGGCGCGGATCTTCCGGCGGCCATTTTGGAACCGCCGATCAGCTGTTCTCCCCGGCTTCGTTATGCGATGTTTGCTAAGCGAATCGCTTAGCGAATATCGCAAAGCGAAAAATCGCCATAGGGGCCATCGCTGAGCGAATGCTCCAGCGATGGCCCAGAGCGCCTCGTTAAGCGATTTCATCGCTCAGCGAAGCGCTCGTTAAGCGAGGCACCACTGTATGTAGTCAGAGGGTGCTTGAAGAGCACACTGTAATCTCTGTGTTTGTTAAAAAAATAAACTGTGCTGCTTATATATCACCCCACAGTGTTTCAAGCACTTGCTCTGAAGTTTACAATTTAACGATGCAGGCAACACACTGGGCCCCTCTACCCCCCACCCGGGTGAATGGAGTCCTTGATTTACTGACCTCAGAAGGATGGAAGGTTGAGTGAACCTTGAACTGGCTACCTAGGATTGAACCCAGGTTTTGAGCAGAGTGGCCCCCCACTCACCCAGGGGTAATACAAGCTGTTGCCCAATACGAGACCAGACAAACCAGTAGCACGTCCCATCCTGCGCCATAGCAGGGATACAAGTTGGGCGCAGAGAAATCTCCTTAACGGGAGAAAAGCTCCCGAGCAGCAATTCCTGGGTCAGATCTGGAGCCAGGCTGAGATGCGGTTGTCAGCCCACCTTGCTATTCCTTACATGCTTCAGTGGTCCCCAACCTTGGGTAACCCAGATGTTCTTGGACTACAACTCCCAGAAATCCTGGCCAGCAGAGGTGGTGGTGAAGGCTTCTGGGAGTTGTAGTCCAAGAACATCTGGAGGCCCATGCTTGGGGACCACTGCAGTTTATACTGAACCGGGAGGCTCTCCCCAACCTACCTCGTGTGGAGCCCCTTTAAAGATATATGCAGAGTGATATATGGTTTCTGTCCAGAGGTGGATATGATCCGAAATTTCGGGCTCCTCATCTGTCTGATACAGCGATTTGGGAACAAGCCCACCTTCAGGCACATTGCACTGGAAGAAATTTGAAAAGAAGGGGCGTTTAGTCCATGGCTTGTAAATCAAGCCTTTGGAATGATCAGCTTCCCTCCCTGCCATTCCACGCAAGAAGACTTCCACATCCTCGTGCTTGGCAAGTGAGAGAAAGCAGAGGTCATCTCAGCCCATCTATCAAGACTCTGCTGAGACCAAAAGAGCATCTGCTTCGTATTTAGGGTTCAGACTCTGAAGACTAAGTGCAATCGCACACTCCTTGAAAGAGGCAAAAATACATTAACAAGGGTCTGCAAAGCATGAGGAGGCAGCTTTATTGTATGCAGTTGGGAAGCTCAAGATCACTGGATTCATCTTTCTCACATTCTATGTTCCCATGATATGTGTTGAGCGGCACCGGACTTTCCTTTCGCCTCCATGCGCATCAGCTACTAGAGGTCCTTTCGGCTTTAACCTAGTTGAGTCATTCGCAACAGCACTATTCGTACTTGTGTTCTCTGCTTTATTTCTCAAGCTAAACTGTTTGAAAGCAGGAGTGGACCATTTTGGCTTACCAGAGACTGTCCTTATGTTCTCAGACTGCAGTCCCCATCAACCTGCACCGCTGGCCATGATAGAAAAATTGCAATTCGTTTTGCTTTGTGTTTCACCAAGGTGGATGAATCACAAATTTCAAATTTACAATTTTTGGGGGTATCGAATGCATTTGTCAATTTGTTTTGATTTTAAAACCCTATCAAATGGGCCTCCAAAAACATAGAGATATCCAAATTGATAGTGGATCTCGCCAGGAAATGCCCTTTAGCAGCGAGCAAGGGGAAACCCAATCTTCTCTAAACTTGGAGGGATTGTAGAAGAGTTATGGGAAGTTTCTCCGTGATTTCGGTGTCTCTAGGTACCTGCGGGG